AATATATAATTTGATCTTTGCGCGCGATTTTGCAAATATGTGACCTGGTCTACGAAAAGGGAGCTTACGTGCGAAAACTAGTTTTCTGTGAAAAAGCTGTTAAAAGTAAGCAACTCGTTTCGTCAGTTTCTCATTATCTCGTTAATTGTTCTCCGCGCCGGACGTCCAGTAAGTGTTGTTGTTGGTCCAGTAAGTGTTGTTGTTGGTCGGAATATTATTATAGTTCATCGTGTAAGTTGCTAGTGTGGAACATTTAAAAAAGTAACACTGAAGAAGTGACGTTTACTGTTTCTGTTTATTATCGCCTTCGCATTTCGCATTAAATAAAACATGAGTGTTGATGAGGAGTTCAGTGCCGTATACGGACAATATTTCCATGAAAAGGATGATGAAAACTATGAAGAGAGCGATGATGATGAAGACGAAGTATGTGTATCTCAGGCAGATGATACACACGTAAAAAGATCTCAAGGAAAACGACAACAAAGAAAAATACATAAACTACTCAGCATTATTATTTTTGGCCCATAATACGTTTTTCTAGTGTATAATCATGTCTTTATAGCTTATAATTCAATGTATTTTGTTCATTACCAATAAATTATATTTTGTCGTATTTTTACTCTTCTTTCTCTACATTTTTAGTACACTTCTAAGCAAGTTAGGATTTTCTGCTTTTCACCACGTGAAAAAGCATCTCATCTTCCATCCGAATCAACCAAAAAGTGAAAATTGATTTTTTGACACCTAAGCCCCCTTTCCGTAGACCAGGTCACATATATGTAATTTTTGATTTTCAAAATTTTTGATTTTCAGCCTCTTTTTGCATAATTTCAGGAAAAGAACTTTCGAGCAATGAAAAAGTCTCGCCAAACATTAAGTAAAAAGCGAGTATTTACACCTAAGTCATTTTATAGTATAACATTTGTTTTCTGAGAGTGAAAAGCAGGAAACAAAAATGAGCCAAAATTCCATCATATTTAACGACTGAACTCACATTTTTTTTAGCTTTGGACGTTATAGTGATCCAGTCTTCCCCATATTTTACATTTAGGTTTTTCTAATAAAAGTGAGAGCATAAACTAAATCATCGAAGTTGGATGAAATTTAATGTTTCCGCCCCCAAGAGTAGAAGGCGTGGCAATTATTCCATCTTTACCAAATTTCATGATTCCCCATTCCTAAGTAAAACTAGAGCCCATGTCAAGTTTCAGTGAAATTGGTGCAAGTTTAATATTATTTCCACCTGCCTCCATATAGTCGAAACACTGTGCGACGTGTGGAAAACAGCGGGAGTGGTCCCACTGCAGGAATTGGTAATCCTGCCAACAAAGGAGAGTGTTATCGGCCGATAACTCTCCTTTCCCTTGCAGCGGAGACACTCCCGCATTTCACGCGCTGACTGACCCCACCGAGGCATCAGTATGTCTTCCGTAAGGCGCACAGAACCGCAACAGCACTTTTTGCTATAAACACTCGGAAGAGCCGCAACCTTGTTGGAAAGCGCCCCTGTAAGAGAACAATCTGAGTAGAGTTCCTCTCTCCCACAGGGACTTAAACGGTAGTCAGCGACATTCGTCAACAACAAAACAAAAAGTTTCACAGGGTGGTGTGTTTTTACCGCTTCTGTTTAATTTGTATATTTCCATTATGTCATATGCTGATCACTGCTCGATAATGGCGTCCGGAATAGAATTATTGACCTCGATAACGTTTTTCACCACTTGAAAGAAAGGCGAACCTATTCCGACTGTGAACAACTCGAAAATACTCGGAGTTACCTTCGGCAGTCTGCTCTCCTTCTCGGCGCACACGACCGAGTTTGGTAACAGAGTACAACAACAAGGTTCTCAAGTCGCTAGCCGGCAGCACCTGGGGCAAAGACGAACGACGTTGGCAACATTAGAGGCAATTGGCCGGTCGGTTCTAAACTTTGCAGCGCCGTGCGGCCGCCGGGGGTTTGCAGGACCCAGTGTACGAAGCTACAGACCTGCCAAACCACGGCACTCCAGACTGCCATGGGATGCCTTCCGATGTCACCAGAGCCTGCATGGTCAGATCCCCGTCATTGTCTCAACTTACACCGACTCCCGACCTGTGAATGCTGTTGTAGGAACACAACCAGCCGACGTGGGGGAGATAGAACTTCGCCTGCCTCGGAAGACTCGCACTACGCTTGTACAACTCCGTTCTGGATACTGCATCAGGTTAAATTTCTACCTAAGCAAGATAAACTGAGATGTGCCCAACGTATGTCCGGCGTGCAGAGAGTCACTCCATGACTCGACACACCTCTTCTTATGTCCACCAAATCACACTTAACTACCCCCCTTCTCTCTCTGGTCCAACCCAGTCGGAGTGGCATACTTCCTGGGCCTCCCTTTAGTTGAGCTTGAACACAACGACTAGGAGAAAAGCCGATCTAGGCAGGGCGCAGTAAGCGCTAAAACAACAACATGGCGAATTGAAAATAGCTATTTCTCCTCTATTAAGATAAAAAAGTGCAACTGTCAAATGCAATTGTTTGCTTTCGTTTACTTGTCATTCACATTAGAAAACCGCTGGCAGTTTTCGGCGATGTTGTCCAAGTTTGCTGGGGTGTATTCCTAAAATAATTCCGAATTAATTCGTCAATCTGTATTAACGCTGCCATCTTTCTAGGGTATAAATAATTTTATTAATTTATATCTAATTTATATTGTAACGAAGGTAACTGCTTCAATCAAATTTCCATAGTGCGGCAAAACGGCGTATGTAGAGCAGTGCTTGTTAGCCAAACAATTAGTTTTTGTTAATTGCTTTCAAGTTTATAAGTTGAACCACCAAAAACCGTTTCCAAGCATAGCCGTCGTATTCATGTTGTGTGTGTTTACCACAGGGATAAAAGGAGGCACCCTGAAATGTAATTTAAAATTTACGAACAATGTATTTTGGTTTCTGCTTTTAAATTGTTTAATTTCTGCTTACTATAGTTTTCGGCAGGATGTCATCATCGGAAACTCTTGCTAAAGGACCACGCCCTCTAGTCATATGCGGCCCATCTGGTTCCGGAAAGACCACATTGCTGAAGAAACTCTTCGAAGATTTTCCCCACACATTCGGCTTTAGTATATCGCATACTACACGCGCGCCACGTGCAGGCGAAGGCCACGGTGTACACTATTATTTTGTTGACAATAAAAAAATGCAGGAGAAAATAGATAACGATGAGTTTATTGAAACTGCTGTTTTTAGTGGAAATACATATGGCACTACTAAAGCGGCAGTTCTAGACATACAGAGATCCGGTAAAGTCTGCGTTCTGGATATTGAGCCGCAAGGTGTTGAACAAATAAAAAAAACTGATTTGAATCCTATATTAATCTTTAATAATCCACCATCACTAAAAGATCTGGATCTGCGCTTGCGTAAACGTCAAACGGAAACTGAAGAGTCCTTGCAAAAACGACTAACGGCAGCTGAAAAGGAAATGGCATACGGCTTAACTCCTGGGAATTTCCACAGGATCATACATAATATCGACATTGACGAGTCATATGCAGAGTTGAAAGAATTTGTTGTAAACGAGTTGAAGAAACAAGAGGCCGAAGGCATTGCAATACGCTGGGAATAAGCCTAGGGGAAAATCCAATTTGAAGTTGTGTTAAATGTACACATAATCTATGTAAAAAGGCATTTGCTTTTAAAAGTAGTAATGTTATGAAAGAATTATATAAAAACTAACTTAATGGTAAAGTTAAAATTTTTGACGACGTTATGTTTAACGAAAGTAGTAGTTGATTGATTATTTTATGTTAAAAATATATTTAAATTGTATAATTACAATATTTTATATTGCATTTTTTCCTGCCCATATCGATTATTCTGGCTGCATTACCTGAATGCGTAAGTGTAAGAAAGTGTCTTTTTAAACTAGGGCTTTAGAAGTATAATATGTATTAAGAGGTTATTGGGAAGCTCTTACCATTCAATGTCTTAGTTTAAGCCGTGATTGTTATTGATTGTTTGAAATGTTTAATTGAGTAAAAAATATAAAACTGCATTAATAATATGCTTGTTTTTTTTTTTTAATTTGAAAGTCGTAAGGTAATTGATACATCCATGTTCTGCTTATAAACCCATTAAGTTAAATCCGAAAAGCTCTTTATTTTACTGATGGTTAATGCTTTTCCAACTTGGTAAGGGATTTTTAAAATAATTCAAAAAGGGTCTGCCTACGTGTGTTCTTCAATATTTCAAAGAAAGTAATTGAAGTTTACAAAAAAATACTGCACAAACCGTTTTGATTCTGCATTCGGGGTAGAACTTTATTTTCCTCCTAATTGTGTTACCGTTTTAAATATCTTGGTATGTTAAATTAAAATATAGCCGTGTTTTTTTCAAAACATCAAAACTTATTTTTATTGGTAACATGTCCGAAGTTGCTGCTACAACAACAACAACAACCCCGCCCAGATCGATTATTGCTAGTAATGCTCGGTAACACTAAGACAAATTTAAAAGTGGCTTTTAAAAATTTAAGTAAACAAAAACTAATTAATTTAAAATATAATTTTTAATTTTTATTTTTTTATTTTTATTTTCACGTAAAGACTATTGAGAGAACAATTCTAGTAGCGTTGGACCTCTCCAAGGCGTTTACCACCGTCACTCACTCCACGCTACTAGAAGATATAGAGGCTTCCTCTCTCCCACAGGGACTCAAACAGTAGTCGGCGAATTATCTGAGTGGTCGACACTTATCAGAAATTTTTGGAGACAAATCGAGCAAACCCAGGAAAGTCAAACAGGGGTACCGCAGGGTGGCGTACTTTCCCCACTACTGTTTAACTTTTACATTTCTAAGCTCCCCCAACCATCAGAGGCAGTCTTGATTGTCTCTTATGCTGACGATTGCTCGATAATGGCGTCTGGGAATGGAATTGATGGCTTGTGCTCGAAAGTAAACGGTTATCTCGCCGAGCTTTCTCGCTTCTTCACTGGACGGAGCCTAACCCTCTCCCCTACAAAATCCTCAGCAACATTTTTTTGCAACATGGACGAATCAGGTCAGACTTCAACTGGGTATTCACGTCGATGACAACCCAAACCCAATGGCGAATACCCAAAAATCCTCGGGAGTAACCTTCGACAGTCTGCTCTCCTTCTCCGCGCATACAACCGCAATTATCAATAAAGTACAAAGTCGCAACAAGGTCCTCAAGTCGCTAGCCGGCAGCATCTACGCCAAGACAAAGAAACGTTGTTGGAAACGAACAAAGCAATTGGCTGGCCGGTTCTGAACTATGAAGCCCCTGTGTGGTCGGCGGGGACTAGTAGGACGCAGTGGGTGAAGCTACAGACCTGCCAAAACACGACACTCAGGACGGCCGTCTGATGTCATCGCAAGATCTCCTGCACGACAAGGCCCATATGCTCCCTATGAATGAGCATAAAACAATGCTCCGCAAGCAATTCCTAGTAGGGTGTCACCGACGTGGCACCCTAACGGAGGGTGTGTTCAGAAATGCATCAAGCCAAAGCATCAGTCTCTTTTATTTCTAAACTATAATTGATGGAAATGTCCAATATGCGCAACCACGATTAAAAGCTTAATTGGGACTTAGTTGCGTAAATAAGGTATTTCCATCAATTATAGTTTAGTGGTAAAAGAGGCTGATGCTTTGGCTTGATGCTTTTCTGAATACACCTAGACATTTGCATGCTGAAGAACCCTCGCCATGGCACGTCAGCAGGACGAAGTCCAGAGGTTCATAAAACAACCTCTGGACCCGACAGCATACCGACAGGCCTTGCACGGCATTCACAGTGAGTCAGTCTCGAGTTATATAGACTCTCGACCTGTGAATGCTATTCTGGGCACACAACCACCAGACGCGGACGAGATAGAGCTTCGACGGGAGATTCGGACCACAATAGCCCAACTTCGCTCTTGCTACTACAGCAGGTTAGACTCGTACCTGAGCAGAGTAAATGCAGATGTGCCAAACAAATGTCCGGCATGCGGAGAGACACCCCATGACTCGAGACATCTCTTCGCATACCCACTGAACCCCACTCCACTATCGCCTCTGTCCTTATGGACAGACCCTATCGATGCTGCCCGCTTCTTGGGTCTCCCGTTAGTAGAGCTTGACGACGAATGAGGAATTAACCGTTTAGGACGGGGTTGTTGTCGCCGCTACAACAACAACAAGAACTAATGCTGTTTTCTTTTCTACCGAAAAATGCTGCCTTCTCAGTGCCCTCTACTTTGGGAAATGCGAAGTTACTGTAGGAAACTTTACTTACGTGATGGAATCACTCATTCCTTATGAAAATTCGAATAACCCTAGTAATACGCGGAAAAAAACAAATTATTTTCTCGTAAAATTTGGGTGATGAAAGTTTTTTTATAATTTAGTATCTAATGCCTACCCAAATCGCCTATTAGTTTTTTTTAAGTTGAAACGCATCGCATGCCTGTTCAATGAGAGACGTGATCATATGTAGAAAAACAGTTTCAGTTAAAAATAAGACAAGAAAACTATAAAGACCAATGGACCTTCGAAGTTCATGCTAGTAATACGCGGTAACACAAGGAAAATATACGTGATGGAATTTTTTCCATAATTTTCCGTAGTTTAGTACCTAATAAACACATACCAAAATTGCTAATTAGTTTTTTAAGGGAGAAACCATCGCAGGCCTCTGCATTTACTAAGTTTTTTTATGAATATCATAAAAAGCTTTTTAAAACATGTTATAATTAAAAAATTAATTGAAAATTAGAACGTTCATTAAATCGCCAGTTGTTTTAAAGTAGTTTGGCTTTAAATTACTTGTGATCATTGAGTTTCCATTAACGATGTCAAACTAATTTCTGTATTATTCTTTTGCAGAACCACTGGTTAAGGTTTTTAAATTCAATATACGCACAATAAGTACAGCACTACTGCAGTCTAAGGAATATACTAAATAGGCTTAATTTTTTACAAAGAAAATTTTCAAATTGTCACTCATGTTCAGAAGGACGTAGACGGTGTAAACTTATTTGAGAAATCGCCAACCTCAGTATTTTGATAGTATGGACAAGAAAATGTCGACATCTTCGCAGCCACGCATATTAAAAAAGAAACATTTTCGTGTAAAACATCAAAAAGTGAAGCTCTTTAGAGCAAATGAACCGATTTTGAGTGTTTTCATGTGGGGCATTAATCACACGGTAAGAACTAACTTGTATACTTATTCTTTCGAAGTGGACCATTTAAAATAATGACATATATTTTTTCACATACTTCTAGATAAATGAACTAAGTCATGTTAATATTCCTGTGATGCTTTTGCCTGATGACTTCCGTGCATATTCAAAAATTAAAGTCGATAATCATCTTTTTAATAAGTACGTAAAATTTAAACTTTTATTCATACAAATAATTTTGAAAAAGGAACATATTCTTTTATGTTTCTGTATATTTTTATTATAAAATCTTTGCTGTTTAGTTGAACTTTTTTCAATAATTAATTTTAGTCTACATGGCGTTAACAGCCGGCAATACCGGAATCAGAGCCTTACTGCCACACTCACTGAGCGTTTTCTGCCGCCTGGCGTTAACGCCAAGGTGTCACCTAAACAAAAGCGGCAACACTACACCGAAAGTAGAAATAACAACTCCAATAACCACACGTTTGTGTGTAGGTAGGTAGAAGTGGCTGTCGCCTTCAGCGGCACACTTAGGCCATAAATAGGAGCCCCCTTGTGTTACCACCAGTCAATTATCCTCACTGTTGCACCACCTCGTGTCGCTGATGAATTTCATCAGGCAACTTGCGTCGGTATTTGAAACCTCCGTAAACTCGGCTAGGAACGGTGAATTCAGATGATGTAGCCTGTTTCTACACAGTGCAGAACATTTATACAGGAGATGCAAGACTGTTTCCTCCTCTTCATAGCCGTTACAGCTTCTGCAACATCTTCGGAAAGGCACGCCGAGACGTTAGATATGTCCTATTATCTAAAAGAGTATACACTTCGTGACCGCTTCCAATCCCATTTAGACAACGTGTACCAAGAAATTCGACAAATCGTAAAGGATGTTTTTTTAGACGTGTGGTTTTCAATGAGGCAATACTTTTTTCGGAGTTGGTTTATTTAGACAGCTGTTACTTGATTTATACTCAGTTTGGTCTGCCATTTCATATTCCGCAACAACGTTTGCAAATCGTGCAAATTTATTATCAAAATAATGCTTCGGTTCGCGCGACGCATCGCGCGCTGCGTCCAATATTCGGTCGACATAATCGCTCAGCAGAATCGGTAATTCGAGCAACCATGGATCGGTTTCGCACCACGTTTACTCTAGTGGATAATGCGCATCCTCAGAGATCCCGTACAGTGCGCACCGAAGACGCTATTGATGCTGTGGAGCAGAGTATCGAAGAAGACCCGAATGAGTCCATCCGCCATCGCGCGCAACAATTGGAACTGTGCCCATCCATGCGGGCTTACAAAATCCAACTCGTGCAAGAATTGAAGCCGAACGACCATTTAGCGCGTCGCACGTTCGGCGAATAGGCCCAAAGCGAGATGGCCACCGATCCCGATTTTCACAAGAAAATTTTGTTCAGCGGTGAAGCTCACTTTTGGTTGAATGGGTACGTTAATAAACAAAATTGTCGCGTTTGGAGTAAAGATAATCCACAAGCCGTTGTTGAGACGCCGTTACATCCTCAAAAAGTCACTGTTTGGTGTGCTCTATGGGCACAGGGAATCATTGGTCCACATTTCTTCAAAAATGAAGCCGGCCATAATGTTATAATCAATGGGGGAACACTATAGAGCCATGATTACAATCAATGGGGAACACTATAGAGCCATGATTATGACTTTCGTGCTTGAATTGGAGGATGTTGATGTGGACGACCTTTGGTTCCAACAAGACGGCGCTACATGCCAACGAAACAATCAACTTATTGAAGGAAACTTTTGGTGAGCGCATTATCTCGCGTCCTGGGCCTGTGGTGTGACCTCCAAGATCGTGCGATTTAACACCGCTGGACTCTTTTTTTGTGGAGTTATGTGAAGTCGCTTGTCTACGCAGATAAGCCCGAGACGATTGACGCCTTGGAAGAGAATATTCGNGCTCAGCAGAATCGGTAATTCGAGCAACCATGGATCGGTTTCGCACCACGTTTACTCTAGTGGATAATGCGCATCCTCAGAGATCCCGTACAGTGCGCACCGAAGACGCTATTGATGCTGTGGAGCAGAGTATCGAAGAAGACCCGAATGAGTCCATCCGCCATCGCGCGCAACAATTGGAACTGTGCCCATCCATGCGGGCTTACAAAATCCAACTCGTGCAAGAATTGAAGCCGAACGACCATTTAGCGCGTCGCACGTTCGGCGAATAGGCCCAAAGCGAGATGGCCACCGATCCCGATTTTCACAAGAAAATTTTGTTCAGCGGTGAAGCTCACTTTTGGTTGAATGGGTACGTTAATAAACAAAATTGTCGCGTTTGGAGTAAAGATAATCCACAAGCCGTTGTTGAGACGCCGTTACATCCTCAAAAAGTCACTGTTTGGTGTGCTCTATGGGCACAGGGAATCATTGGTCCACATTTCTTCAAAAATGAAGCCGGCCATAATGTTATAATCAATGGGGGAACACTATAGAGCCATGATTACAATCAATGGGGAACACTATAGAGCCATGATTATGACTTTCGTGCTTGAATTGGAGGATGTTGATGTGGACGACCTTTGGTTCCAACAAGACGGCGCTACATGCCAACGAAACAATCAACTTATTGAAGGAAACTTTTGGTGAGCGCATTATCTCGCGTCCTGGGCCTGTGGTGTGACCTCCAAGATCGTGCGATTTAACACCGCTGGACTCTTTTTTTGTGGAGTTATGTGAAGTCGCTTGTCTACGCAGATAAGCCCGAGACGATTGACGCCTTGGAAGAGAATATTCGGCGCGTTATTGCTGATATATGGCCCCAATTTCTGCAAAAGTGGTCGAAAATTGGGTCTCGGCTGGAGTTTATTCGAGCCAGCCGCGGCGGTCACTTGCCCGAAATCATTTTTCAAGCATAATGGCAAACTCTTGTCTTTATAATAAAGGTAAATTCTTAGTCATACCATTAAACTATATGCGTTTTATTCCTTCTTGAAAGTCACATGTCTAAAAAACACCCTTTACTTTGACTCATATTTCTTCAGCTTGTTTGTATGCAAATTCGCTAAGTAGCAGCTTCCAAGTGGCAAAAGGCATACCAAAGCGTTCTTTACCAGGAACAATCTGCTTGGTCGTACCTTGCCTTGCAAGTTCATCAGCCATGCAGTTTCTTTCTATGTCCCTATGAGTAGGGACCTAAGTGAGGTGAAGTCTGTTCTGCTTGACCATCTTCTGTAGATATAGGCGGCATGAAAATGTGAAAGAACTCTGAGCTTTGATTGCAGCCTTGCTATCACTAAAAATGAATACGTCTCTTCCAATCGTTTCGGTTCCAAGACTCCCCGCAGCCTCCATGATAGCTGACACTTCAGCTTAGAATGGGCTGCAGTAATTTGGTAACCTAAAAATTTTCAGAGGAAGGTTTCGTGAGTAAACGTCTCCTCCTACCTTACCGTCGAGTTTCGAGCCATCTGTATAGATGTCAATACTATCAGGTGGAGTGTTAATATCTTCTTCCCACTCCTCCCTGCTCGGGATTCTTATGCTAAGGTTGCTTTCCGTAACAGATATCGAAGCACAACGTTCTGCGCTGTTCGGAATAAAGCAACATTTATTTGATATATAAGAGTGTCTCTGGGCTTCAGGAGGCCAATAGGATTCTTCTCTTAAGCGAAGAGCAGCGAGCGCTACCACTAGAATTTTTTACCTTCTCGTAAAGAGGACGACCTTGCTTCAGCTGACGCTTAGGCCACAGCGGGTGGACCACCTGCATCAGCTCACATAGGGTTTGCGTAAACTTTTCCCTGAAGGCGATTGAAATGTCAGCGGCATAGGTAATGACAGAGTAGCTGACCGATAAGCTGCGCCAGTGAGTTATCCACCCCTAGAGCCCTCACGGCATCAGTAGTAGCTTCTGGATGTACGTTGCTGAACGCGACTTCAATATCCAAGAAAGCTACGAGGCAGAAGTTCTTAACTAGCTCAGTCATAGAGATATACCCAGTTAAAACTGAGCTAGTACCCTTTACTAGGGGGTACAAATTGCCGCTTCTCGTACCCCCTAATAGATTAAAATATAATTCTCAACATATAAGGATAGGTTCTTCTGAAACAAAAAGACAGCGGAACGCATTAAGAACGCCGTAACTGCACTTCCCACTTGCAAATACAATAGGAACATCATGGTGACACCACAAGGATAGTATAGGGGATATATACGCAACTTCACATCTCAGTTATATCCCATGGAGCCTTAGTATGGTCACCTAATGAAATCTACAGCGCACTGCAAAGGATACAAAGAAGTGCGAAGTTCTAAAAAGCGGAAACTTTTGGCTCCACGCTCACGTATGCCCTCTAATTAGATAGATAGATATTAATATGAGGTGTGCACCGGGACTTGGTGATCTATTGTGCCCTCTTCTCTTCACACCACTTCATCTAAGCCCAGATCCCTCAGAAAATTCAATAGGGCCTTCGGGAGTAGGGAGTGGATGCGCTCAAGCTGTGGCCACAACGAGCCTAGACTCCTCTCACGTCTTCTGCAGACTGTATCACACTCGGTGAGATTGTGAAGTGGCGTCTCGCTGGTCAAGTCACAGAACCTACATAGATCATTCGACCATATGCCCAGCTTATGTAGGTGACAACTTAGTCTGCAGTGTCCTGTAAGAAAACCTGTTACAATTCTAAGCCTCTCTTTTGGGAGGTATATTAAGCTTTGGAATCTCTTCTTGTTAAACCCTCCCAGTAAACTCTTTGCCTGGCGCATTCCTCCCGAACTGCGCCAGTTTAGATCCCTTTGTGTGAACCTCTCTCCTAAGCTCCTCCTTTATAGTATTGGGACCTATTCCCAGGAATGGCTCTGGGCCAACTGAAGTGATGGCTGCCGCCTCTCTAGCGAGACAGTCAGCCACCTCATTACCCTATACTCTCCTATGGCCGGGTACCCACGCTAACATTGCTAGAGTATATGACCTTTCCTTTTCCACAACTCTCTCTAGCAAAGCTAAGCAGAGTTCTTTTGGCTATCTGCTCTATGGGGTTATGTGAAGAGGCTCGAGTTCGAGGACTACTTCCTGCGCCGTCGTCGGACATGCATACATATGCCAGTCTTTGTAGCTTGGTGAGTGATTGCCTCACTGTGGCCAGAGTAGTCCTTGAAACCCAAGCCACCGCCCCATAGGTAATCATTGGCTGTACTACCATGGTGTAAAGCC